TGGAATATCTCCTTGTATAACCTTCAGCCACAAGGCTCTCCTCAGCAGAGATATCCTTCAGCCTCTTCCAGGCTGGGCAGGTGGTCACTTGGTCCACACGTTGCCCCCAGGCATCAAAATGCAATAATCTAGGAGGGTTTAGCTCACACTCACGGCCCAAGAAGCCAATTTCATCTCTCACACGAGCTCCAAACCGTTCCAGATCAATGTTCACTTTGGCAAACACCTAGAAGGTCAATGCATAAATATGAAAGACAGGAACTAGAAAGTTGCCTTTTGAAAAAGCACTTTTGAGACAACTATGACCTGGAAAACTGAGAATCTCCACAGACAACCAGAAAGTAATTTTGAGAGGGATAAAGGAAGGTAAGTTGAAAATCAGTTGCTGATTTTTTTCTTATTTGGTCTGTAGTTTTACCTGATGTTGAAGCTGATATTTCTTCTTCAAACCTCAAGCTAAGTTTGTGGTTAGTACAATCTGGTTACATCTCAGTGTCTTTCCTAAAGAACACTTGGAATACATGTGATCCAGAAACTAGCTTGAAGTTTTTGCACATATTCATTACTATTCACTCCAAAGTCCCTTCCGACCCTATTATTCTATATTCTTTCACTGCATTTGTATCATCCATTTTTTGGGTGGTGGTGAAACAATTGATGAAAATACAGCGTTCAAAAGGCATGTCTGAATCAAAGTTCCTTTTCCTGACAGCTATTTCTAGTTCCGAATCTGAAACATGTCCATGTATTGGGGAACATAAATTGAGGACTCTCCCAAGTTCTAGTTGGCATGTCATATGAACACCAAAATCTAGACAATCATTTATCCCATTTGGTCTACTTCCCATCAGGAAAGAACAACTGGAAACCTCTCCAGCACCTTCTGTGTTCTTAAACCTCTGCATTAAAAAGGTGCGAGCTGTGCTTGGAAGCCAAAGTGCCTTTTGCACAACTTCAGTGCTTATAAAATTGGGTAACAAGCTTTTGTTTTTTTATATATATATAATAGTATCAAGGCACAAACCCGCTATCAATCACAATAGGAACCTCTAAATCGACTTAAAGAGTTTTACCTACATTAGGTACAAGCAGTTTGGGGAACAGGTTCGGGAAGCGCTGCTCTAGTCCCAGGAACAGGTCTTTCCCACCCCCAGTATTTTAATTTCTCCTTCTTCCTGCTTTTTGTCCCTGCAAGCACGGGGCAGGCAGCGTCCCCAAACCTGAGACGCAGAGAATTGGAGCTTTCCGTCCCGGTTGGCACTCTCCTCCGGCTGGAAGGGGCCTCGGAGGTCTTCTAGTCTACCCCCTTGCCCCGGGCAGGAGTCCTTCGCTCATGTAGCGTGGCCTCACCTCCCAGCCCCTATCTGGTCACGGGACCTGGGCAGTGGCAGGGGGCGCAGGGGCTAAAGCGGTGGGGAGGGAGCCACGGGCAGCAAAGGAGAACGGAGAAGCACCGAGCCAGCCCTGTGGCCCCCACCGCCGAGTCCCCGTCTGACGCTCACGCACCTGGGCGGGCAGATGGGCTCTCAGGTAACCCTGGAGGAAGGGGTCTTCCAGATAGAGGTTCCCCATCCGAGGCGCGTCCATGGTTGCAGAGGGGTGCACCAGCGCTCCGCAGCCTCCCGGTTCCCGCAAAGGCTCCCGCTGAGGAAGGGGCGACCGGGGCGAAGCTTTTGTCCTCCTGCGCGGGTTGCCCGTGGGCGGAGATTCTGACAGTTCGGGAAAAGCGTGTTCTTTGCACCCAGAGAAAAGAACAGCGGCCGCTTGGACAGCTCTTCCACCCTCGGGGGCATTATTGCGAAGGCGGCTCTGGGCTTGGTCCCAGAGAGGAGGAGGAGGAGGCCAGGGATCCGGGACGCCAAGCGGTTGGCAGGCAGCTCTGGCCGCTCTTCGTTGAAGGAACCGCCCATCCCAATTCACTCCTCCGTCTTCCAAAACGGGGCCGTGGGAACGGACCCATCAGCCTCACATTAATAGCTGGGAAAATCCTGGAAAAGATAACCAAAGCAACAGATCTCCCAACATTTAGAAAAACTCCCCTTGTGTCTAGTTGTTCTGGTGTGCAGTGCTCAATATAGCGTCGTTTTGAGGGTAGTAGTTGAAACAGTTTATGTCCGGGATGTGAGGGGTCTGTAAATATTTCATCAAGAAAGTAGCCTGTAAAAGCATAGAAATGAGCAAAGTTATGTACTAAAATAGAATATATGGCTGGGGGGGGGGGAGAGGGGGGGAGAGAGAGACAGTGGGTTCAGTCTGAATTAAAACACTTTACAAATGACTTTGGATCTCTACATTAGCCTTTCTTAGCCTGAATTCAGGAAATTGACCCTTAACCCTGCTGGTTGGAGAATTCTGGGAAATAAAACCCATAAAGGGATGCTGGCTGGGTAAAAGGTGAAGTTGAAGAGCAGTTGAAAAGCCTGTACATCTTGTTGAAAAGCAGTTGAAAAGCAAGACGGCTGGGGAATTCTGGGAGTTGAAGTCCACCCATTTTCAAGCATGCTGGCTGGGGAATTCTGGGAGGCTTATAGGCCGCTCAGAGCTCAGGGGATAATGGGAGAGGCAATGAATAGCAAGAAATAAAAGAAAAAGAAAGAAAGAGCTAAAAGAGCAACTGAGAGGAGAGCTGCCCAGGCAGGGATGGAGGGAGGTATGAGGCACCTGAGGGGAGATGATGGTGGACCAAGATGGCCTCCTCCTTCCCGCCAAAATTCCCTCAGAGCTTTTTGAAAAGTTACTCTCATTTTTTCCATTTTATTATTTGTAATAAACTGATATTCAAAGGTGCTTTTTCTCTACTGTTGCCTGCCCCTTACATTATTGTTAAAAAGAGCCTTTCGTTACTATAAAATATATTTTCCTCTTCAATTGGCTAATTGGCTAACCCTAACCCTTAAATTATTATGAAGAAGAACTTTTTCTCTTTTGTCACCTGCCCCTTAAACTATTACTAAAAAGATCCCCCCCGCTCTTCACTGGCCTATTGCATTGATTTAAAAATGAAGGGCATCAAATGCATTGATTTAAAAAACAAAACAAAATGAAAACATGTCAAATTGTATTTAAAATTTGTTCAAAGATTTATTTTTGCCTATAATGTCTTTTTTGTCTTTATCATCTTCTTTATTTTGCCCTTTTTAAATATTTTGAAACAAATGTTTAAATCTTTAAAACAATAAAAACAAACAACCCCCTCAACATTGAGACACTCTTATCTTTAATTATTCATAATAAATTGATATTCTGCCTCAATTTGATTCTCCACTATTGTCTGCCCCTTAAATTATTGTTAAAAAGAACACTTTCAGTTCTTTATTACTTAAATTATTACTATAAAGTACATTCTTCTCTTCACTTGGCTATTCCTCAAATTAATAAGAAAACCCTTTTTCTCTTCAGTTACCTGTACCTTAAAACTATTATTAGAAAGAACTTTTCATTTTCCCATTACAGTGATTTTAAATTAAGATTTAAAAACAAAACAGGACATAAAATGCATTGATTTAAAAAACAAAATGAAAAACATGTTAAATTTTATTTATAATTTATTTACAATTTAAATTGTATTTACAATACAATTATGTATTTTTACCCACAATGTCCTTTTTGTCTTTTATATGTAGTCATTTGTTTTGTCCTTTACATGTTTTGAAACAAACATTTAAACTTTTTAAAAATAATAAAAACAAACAGCTGCTAAACTGAAACAATATATTTTAAATGTTATGACATTGTAAAATTGTAAAATTTGTTTATCAAAAGATGTGGGCTGGGCTGGAGGCTTTGAAGAAGAAATTAAATAGCTACTTGTCAAAAATGGTACAGGGTCTCCCTCTTGAGCAGGGGTTGAACTAGATAATCTCCAAGGTACCTTCCAACTCTGTTATTCTGTTATACTTTCTATCTATAATGTCTTTTTTTAAAACTTCCTTCTGTTACATTTTATCCAGCCATAAATTTCGCCCTTTAAATGTTTTAAAATAAAAATTTTAAAGGTATAAAAACACTTAAAGGTGAAAAATGCAACAGACAGCAATGCATAAAATGCAGAGTTTGAAAGGAGAAAAATTCCGAGATATTTCAGAGGCAGAATCAGGGGACGAAAGAAACTCGTATCCAGGAGGGTGCTGATGGCAATTTGTGGTCATCACCGATGAACAGATCAAAGGATAAGCACAAGCTGGATGCACG